GAGTGATCCCCATTCTAAATAAACTTCTCATTTCCAGTTCGAGAGACTTGAATCTTAACTATGGAGAAAGATCAAATGTCTCCATGATGCATATGCATATATGCATATATTGAGACATATTCATTTATCAAAAAGTGCCTTTGTGCCCAGAGAATTCACCTCATTACACATTAACCAGGAGAGTCAATTATTTAAACACTCTGGGGCCTTTTTGTCGGGCTGAACATTTACATTTCTTTGACCAATCTGATATCCAAAATGGAAAAATCACTATCAAACTACTGGAGAGATGGCTCTAATCAATAAATAAGCAGAACACACTGGTCAACAGAAAATGATACTGTTATCAAATGGTGGCCGTTAGTAACAAACAGTTTTAAAAAGTCGTCCACCATACAAGGGGATCATCAATAGTTAAAGGAATGTGATGTTTGATATTCAGATACCACTTTTTTTTTTTCAGTTCAGATGGCATTCTTTGAAAATCCACATTTCTGGCATCTTGGCTTCAGTAGACCAGCAGCATCATGATAGAGCAGGTTAGCAATGTCAGGTACTGCCTGGGACAGCATTTGGTGTCTGGATTTAAAACTCATTAGTGGAATGGCCTTTGGTAAATTGCCCAACTTGCTTAACAGTCTGAGCCTGAGTGTGCCTCTCTGAGAAATCAAAGCTAAATAGGAACACAGGTAAAAAAATATTTCAATAATGTTTGAGGTTACAGCGCAACCTTGAGCAAGATAATTTCTTTAGCCTAAGATTCCTTTAAATGTGGATAAGATGCATAGGCATAGGAGTGCCGGAATACTAAATGAGATCTAATATTTCAATGGCCCAGTACTATATATACAAGTTTTCAGTGAGTGGTAGCTAATATAATAAATATGATATCAATAAAAATGGGCAAACTAGAAATTTATAAGGTTAGATCAAGAAAATGTATTTAAAATGGCATTTTAATCCTATCAGCTGGGCAGGTATTAAAAATAATATCTACTGTTGCCTTTGAATAATGAAATCAGTATGTTTATACACCACAAGCAAGTAAAACTGTAAACTGATCCAATTTTTCTAATGGACCATTTGGCGATGTGTATAAAAGATTTTAAAAATGAAAATTTTCTTGACCAAGCCATACCGGATCTAGGAATTTACCCTAAGCAATTTTTAAATGTCCAAAGATTTATGTTCATAGGCATACTTACTGCAATGTTGATTACATATCTAAAAATGAAAGTTAAGAGATTTTTAAAAATAGGTTATATTTTTAATTAAACTCTGGTACATATATGATATATAGAATACCTTTAGGACTCCACCCAAAACTCTTAGAACTAAATGAATTCTCTAATATTTCAGGATACAAAATCAATACATAAAAAATATGTTGTGTTCTTATGCGCTAATAATGAACTACCAGAAAGAAAAATGAAGAAAACAATCTCAGGTACAATTGCATCAAAAAGGATAAAATACCTAAGAATAAATTTAACCAAGGAGGTGAAAACCTCTATACTGAAAACTACCAGACATTAAAAAAGTAGGAAAAGACATACATATTCCATGTTCATGAATTGGAAGGATTAGTATCATTAAAATGTTCATACTACCCAAAACAATCTACAGATTTGATATAATAGCTAACAAAATTCCAATTCTGTTTTTCATAGGAATAAAACAAACAATCCTAAAATTTGCATGTAACCACATAAAAACCCCAAAAAGCCAAAGCAATCTTAAGAAAAATAAAGATGGAGGCCTCATGTTCCCTAATTTCAAATTATACTATAAGGTTATAGTAACCAAAACAGTGTGGCACTGGCATAGAAATAGACACATAGATCAATGAAATAGAATAGAGATCCCAGTAAACTCACGCCTATATGGTCAATTAATTTATGACAAAGGAGCCAAAAACATACAATGGGGAAAAGACAGTCTTCAGTAAATCGTATGGAGAAAACAGGACCACCAAACCCAAAAATTAACCCAAAACAGATGAAAGATTTGCATGTAAAACCTAAAGCCATAAAATACTTAGAAAAAAAAATAGAGAGTAAGCTCCTTGACAAAGGTTTTGGCAACGAATTTTTTAATCCGAAACCAAAAGTAAAAGCAAAAATAAACAAGCAGCTTTGAATCAAATCAAAAAGACTCTGCACAACAAAGGAAACCATCAACATAATAAAAAGGCAACCTACTGAATGGAAGAGTATAATCTCATGCCATATATCTGGTAAGGAGTTAACATTCAAAATATATAAAGGATACAAAGAATTCAATAACAAAACAAAAAATCTGATTTTAAAATGGGCAGAGGATCAGGATAGATCTTTTCCAAAGAGGACATAAGATAGCCAACAGTTACATGAAAAGACACTCAACATCACTAATCATCAGGGTATGCAAATAGTAAGATATCATGACCTCACACTTGTTAGAATGGCTATCACCAAAAAGACAATGAACAAGTGTTGTCCAGGATGTGGAGGTAAGGGGACCCTCAGGCACTGCTGGTGGGATTGTAAATTGGTGCAGCCACCATGGAAAACAGTGTGGCTGTTTTCAAAAAATTCAACATAGAACTACCATATGATCCAGCAAATCCTTTTCTGGGTGTTTATCTGAAGAAAACAAAAACGCAGACACAAAAAGATATATGTACTCCCATATTCATCGCAGCACTATTTAAAATAACCAAGATATAAAAACAACCTGAATTTCTGCGGATGAGTAAATGGATAAAGAAATTATAATATATATTTTTATAATGGAATATTATTCAGCCATAAAAAATAATGAAATCTTGCTATTTGTGACAACATGGATTTGAAGAAATTATGCTAAAGGAAATAAGCTGAACAGACAAGACAAATACTATATGACTTCTCTTATATGTGGAATTAAAAAATTAGCTCATCAGCAGGGGGCAGGGTGGACAGTCGGAAAGAAGGGTAAAGAGAGTAATTAATTGTAAAAAAAAAGTGATGTTATGATTTTAATACTAAACATAGCTAGCGTAAAAGGTCAAAAATAATACCAACAAAAGTGTTTGTCTGTTGTACTTCTGAGGAAAAGAGGTAGCTTCTATCCTAATTTAAAATTTAAATGCACACATATATACTCACATGTACAACACACACGCGCGCACACACGCATACACACGAGTCCATTGTTTCTATAAGAATCTGTCCCGATATTTCTTTTTCTTTTTTGAACAAAGACTTCCTTCTGCAGTCATTCAATGGAGTACACCATCTAAGTGCAGCTAGTAAAGACATAACCAATTCATGTCTACCTTTGCTTTCAACTTTCAGTGCTTCACTAAGAGTTTTTAAATAGAAAACTCTAAATCACAGTACTTAAATATCCCACAGGAGATTGCCTTTAGGTGAGCAATACGTCTGTATCCTAATTTAAGGAATGCAACTATGTTCTATAGGTACGAAGTAGCTTATGCAAGGCCATATAGCTAATCAATGAGCCCCAGAACTTTTTTCGATCAAACTGAATACGTTGCACATCAGAGATCCTATATTATGGTGGCTCCCAGTGTATCCTGAGACTGGCAATGGAAGACAAGGCCCTCAGCTCTCAAGGAGGGATATAATCCATGGGTTTATGTGCCTCCCTCTCTTTCTGTCTCCAATGGCTCAGTAGGTTTTTGTGCCCTGTGTTGTGTGATACTTATTCAAAGATGCTCCTCAGCTCTCAGGGCCCAGGAACAGAGGTCCCTATCAAGATGGTTTCATTCTGTTTAGACAACCGAAGATACAGAGACCGCCATTGTTTTCCCTTTGACTCAGCGGGTGGGAAGAGTCACTTGCAGCAGTGGCTCAGTCTTCGTCATACTGGATTGCTCCCTAAGCCCTCCCTCCCCCCAGGACCCTTATGTGGCCCTAGAAGAGGTCCCCATGGCAGACAGGGATGCACCCGGGGCCACGCAGGGGCCGGGAGAGCCCACTCTCAGGAACAGCCTTGCTAATCCCCGACAGTAAAGCACCGTGGCTCAGACAACAGTTCTTCGCAATATGTAGTGTTTTCAAAAACCCTGGGCGACAATTGTAAATATTCTCCTTTCTGAGGCTTCGGTCTGTGCAACTGAGACTTGGGGAGGCGCAGGGAGTGGCCTTGCATAAAGCAACCGGCAGTCGTGGAGCCGCTCCTGGCTCCCTAACCTGGGCATTGCCCGCTGCACTGTGCCCACCTGAGAGAAAGTGCGCTGTGGCGTGAGCTCAGTCTTCATGGCCTTGGTGAGGAGGACGCCTCCTATCACCAGTCACTCTCCTGCCAGCCCACATATTCGCTAACTGAATTCCGTTTCCTGAAACGGTCCTGCAAACTCGAACCCAAGACATTTTTCAGAATGACCAGTTACAAAACAAATGATTTCTGACGTCCCACTTTTAATGCACTAACACAATTTTCTAAGAGGTGCAAATAATCCAATCCCCCCCCTTGTAACTCGAAGGATGCTAAATCTCTTCTTTATCAACACGGCCGAGAATCAGAGTTTACAATCTGTGAAAATTAATTGGGTGGTGGTAGGTATGGAAAGTAGGCATTTCTACTGTCTTACTTGTTATACCTAAGACATGAATTAACTGTAACAAAAGCAAGGAGCCCCCGCCTGCTGCTGGCCGCCAACAACAGTGCCGATTTCACCAGAGACTGCGTGCAATCCTTCGCTGTGTCATTGGATCTGACAGATCTGGCAGCTGACTGAACGTTTACTAATAGCACTAACTCACAGTAAGACTTGTATTGGCTACTGGGTGGTTTTTTAGTCAAATATTTTGTCTTTAAAATATTCAGAAAATTCAGATCAAGGAAAGAGCCAACATCCTTGCAGAGCATTTTAAATCACATAGAAACTAATCATTATTTTCTTCGATTCTCAACGCATTCTCCCTCATAACCAAAGATGCCTAAGATAGCATATCATTTAATAATGTTCAGCTATGTTTTACTGTCATACCATTTATTTAATAATATCTTACCTCTGCTTGGAACTCATACATCACTCTATCCTGGCTCTCTTGAGATTTTGACCTTTCCTTCATATCTCCTGATAGTTCTTCCATTTCATTTTTCCGTTGACCATGAAGACTGGTAAACTAAAAAAAAAAAAAAAAAAAAAAGTTAAAACTATAATCACATGGTGCTACAAAGACTAGTTGCAGGATAATCTATGTTAGTCTTGTTTTCCTTTTAGTTTTAGTCTTCTTTTTTAAGGTGGATTCTGGCAGTTTTACGGTTGCTCGTGTAATTACTGTGCCTGAACCATTTAATCTTATACTTGTGGTTGAAAACGCCTAAGTTGTTAGAAAACAAATCAGCAAATCCTCATAAATCCAAATTCATCAAGTGAAAATTGGGCAAAACTCAGTTTCCTCTACAGACTCTTGATACTGACCAATTAAATTCTAAACTAATGCAATTGATCCTGACCTTTGAGCCTTGAATATTAGGCCCACACTGCTCTGGGTAATCCTACTTATGTCTGTTTTCTATGAAGTAAAGGGAGTATACAGGTTGTAACAGAGGCCAATGTAGACAATGAAGAGATTCATTTTTGTTATGCTGGAGCTGGTCAAATACATGCAGGACATCTACAAAAGATGCCAATACATTTCCATAGGGAACTACTGCAGAAAAACAAGATAAAAAAATTGTGGTCGGTCCAGACCATGGAATATCATTCAGTGCTGAAAAGAAATGTGCTATCAAGCCATGAAAAAACAGAGAGGAAATTTTAATGTATATCACTAAGTGAAAGAAGCCGACCTGAAAAGGTTACACACTGTACGATTCTAACAATACAACATTCTGGGAAAAGCAAAACTATGAAGACAATAAAAAGATGAGTGGTTTTCAGGGACTCGGGGAAAGAAGAGATGAGTAGGCAGAGCACAGGATCTTTCGGGCAGTGAAACTACTCTGAAGGACGCTCTAGCGGTGGTTCCGCATTGTGATACGTTCGTCTAAACCCACAGAATGTCCAAGACTGAACCTTAAGGTAAACTAAGGACTTTGGGCAATAATGATGTCAACGCGGTTCAACAGTTGTGACAAACGTGCCCCTGCAGAGGGGGGCTTGAGTCACGGGGCAGGCGGCGCACGAGTGAGAGCAGCACCTTCCACTCAGTGTCACCTGAACACAAAGCCGCCCCCAAACACAACAGCTACAAAGACAAGCAGGAAGGTGAGGAAAGTCCTATCAATGCAAATAACTATTTTCCCCCTGTAGCTGTCATTATAATCAGCAGTTTTCAGCAGATCCATGAAATCTGATAAATATATAAATAAGTAGGTGCATACATGTATGCTGTTTTGTTCAAATGTACATTGACTCCTAAAATACGTATGTAAATATTTTCAGAATTTAGATGATATAATTTGTATGTAATCCTACAATGGATGAGATTATAACAGCTAACATTACACCACCTGTTTAGAATTTAAAAGTCATAGTACTCATAACGTTATTGGTAGAAGTACTAAGCGCGTACTCCATTAATGAATACTCTCCGTGCTTACTCCTTTGGACAGCTCTTCTGGACGCATGGTTCTGCACACTAATCAAAGTGTGGACCCCCTCCAAATGCCTAGTTCCTTCCTGCAGTTCTCGCCTGACCTTTGGACCATGTTCAGACTCCCTACTTATCACCTCTATAGGCATCCAAATGTTAGCACACTGGAAAGGCAAAATAAGAACTTCTCTGCCTGGAATTGCCACTGCCGTAAAAACCAGCGCCATCCTTATGTTTAACCAGGCCCACAATATTGGATGTATTCTTACTCGGTTCTTTCTCTGACGTGCTTTATTTCCATACCTCCAAAAAGCAAACCTTACCTTCTTCTTTCCCTCAACCTTAAAGAAAGGTAGTAGACACTAAAGGGTGTTTAACTAACATTAATGCAAATTTGGGTGTAGCCTTTAAAAAAATAAAAATACTAAATAACTGATCTTAATGGGTTTTAAATTCTTTTGTTATCATGTTGATGCATTCTTTACATTTTAAGAGTCCCTCTTAGTATATTCAGAATCAAAAATAAAAGTTCTGGTGAATTTTAAATATTAACACTTTAAATGAAATGGTTGTATCTCACTTTACTATATGCAAAATTTTAAAAAATAGAAATGTCATATTCATCATTATTCATTCAAAAATTTATATTAACTTTATTTCTAGAATTTTTACTCCTATCCCACCTCCTCCAGATCATTGTACTATATCAAATTCTTATACTAGAAAATGGTTTTACTCTATAATATGCAATAATAATATGTATATAAAATTTGTATGTATATTTTATGACTGTAAGGCTTCCAATGTTACAAAAGTTTCCTTTGGATTGAATTAGCTTAACTTTTACAGGTAAATGCTTGCTGAAAAATGATACAAGATAGCACACACTGTGACAAGTAATTACTAAATATAAACTAATTATATGCTGGAAATGCATTTCCTAATGAGATAGATAGATACATTTTTTTCAATTAGTTTGTGTATCCATGGGTAAAATTACTTATTGATAGAATGAAATTAGAACTATCTTTAGTTTTATTTATTCTTTTTCAAATGTAGGCACTGAAACAATATTGATCACATGTGATAAAAACAAAAGATGTGTTATAGTAGAGTTATCACTCGTGTTGTTTTTAAATCTTTCTAAATATATGGCAAAGCTAAATTTTGACCTCATATCAAAATTAATTCTTGTTATCTATAAACTGACTAGTCCATTAGATCCCATTCCAGTATATTTATGCAAAAAACATACAAACCACCTGAAATGCCAAAGGTTTTGTGACCCGTTGATTAGTTGGTTTCTCAACACCACTATTTCAAAATATCTCTTCATGCGGTGCTCCTGAGTTTTCCCTGGTCCAGCAAATGTCCTAAAATAGCACGGAGGAGGGGACAGAAGTATACTTTTCATTGGAGAAGTGGTGGCAGGTAATGTGGGAAAAGAGAACTTGTGTGCCAAGCTCTTTCTTACACAGATCAACCTTCAAAAACCTTCCATGGAAGCTGGGATTCTGGAGTCAAAAGCCAGCTAAGCCGCTCTGTCTCCTCGGGAGACTGCCCGCACGCGGCAGGGGCGGGGCAGTGGTAACGCTCCAATGTCTGCGGGGGTCTGCGAGTGTCCCCACGAAAGCAGGGAGGGCTAGAGCAAAACAAACTCAAAACCCTCTGGGTGCAAAAGCAGAGGCAGACTTGTAGCTACAGAGGACAAAGGGGAGGGGCTGGGAGAAAAAGGCGAAGGGACGGAGGAGCGCGGATTGGCCGTCCCAGAACAGTCCCGGGGCTGTGAAGTGCGGCGTAGGGGTACAGTCAACGGCACTTTGATAGCTCTGTGTGGTGCCAGGCGGGCCCTGGAAATATCAGGGGGGGACACTCTGTAAGGCCTGTGATTGTCTAAGCACCTGAGAGGGACACAAAATTACATTGAATGTTTAAAAGAAAAAAACAGAAAAACCTCTGGATGTCTACCGCAACATTAGGTGCCACGTTTTCCGTGAAAAACTAAGATGCAGGTTGGTTAAGACAATCCACTCACAGCTTCAAGAACTGAGGAGAAAATGAAAAGGCACAAGGTGCCCTAAGAACAGAACCCCCAAGTGGACAACAGACGTTCCCTGAAAGCGTGTTGGGCCAGTGTGAGCGGGGGCGTTTGACCCTTTCTGACTGGCCCGTGCATGCAGGGGGCCCATTGTAGAGTCTGAAAAACCGGAATAATCTGTACCCTATATACCCTTTAAAAACCCAGACAAAACTTCCTTCAAAAACAAGGCCTACACTGAGAAGGAAGTGCTGAGATCAGGGTCCGTGCTGAGAGGGACAGGAACAACAGCAGCATGAAAAAGTCACTTAGGGAGCAGGGCAGGAGTTTTTGGAAAAGACAAGGCCATAATTCAGGACACTTGACACAAACACAGGGTCCTGTACAAATAATGCCCCTTTTTTATTACAAAATCTTTTATTACAAAACTACAAGCACGTAATTCTGTAACATAACAATATCACACTCAGGTGCACCATGTGACACCTTAGGTGAAATGTTCAAATTAAAACTATAAATTACTATACCTGTGTTGTTACCTTACCAACTGCACTCAAGCAGGCCTGACTTCTGCCGGATCTGTATTAAGAGTAGGGACCTCTACAGCAGTGAATCTAGAAAATATTTCTTGATCTACCCACTTTGTATTATGAAGTTCAAAAAACCTAAATCTATGTAAGAATGAGCAACAGAAAAAGGATGATAGAGGAATCATACATAACATTATTATAAGGATGAAAGTATAAGGAGCAGAATAAGTTCTCTCATCAACAATGAAAATGTGCTACAGATGAGAACATTCTAAAGATATATTCCCACTAGAGAAAGAGAAAATCACAGTTTTCAACGTGACCTGCACAAAAGTGGTACAATTATAAATAATGTGAAAGGACAACGCAGCCAGGAATTAGAAAAACCTACAAGTGTTACAGAACTCAGGAAAGAATTAGACATAGAAGAAAATTCATTTGAGAATAAATGAGAAAGACACAAGAATAAATAAGAGCAAAGACAATGCCTTAAGAAGTGAGGTAAAAAGAAAAAAAATGCTACAAATCTGAGGTATTGAAGATAAAAGATTAAAATGATATCAGAAACCGTGACAGAGAGTGCAAAGGAAGATTCAACATACTTACAATTTCACCTCTTAAAAGTTCAACTCTTTCCACTAAAATGGCCTAGAAATAAGGACTGTCCCTAGAGCAATGAGTTGTTTCCCCTTATTGGAGCCCAAGACCCTGAAGAAGTGGTTCATTTCAGGTCTAAAGAGAGGATAACCCTGGTACATCTTGTCATGGCACAGAAGAAGGGAACTATAAAAGATTACTGAGATTGTGTTAACATTCTCAGGAGCCAATATAGAGAAGATTCTTCTCTCCATGGTACCTTTTGAGTATCAATTAGATTAAAAACTGCAGTAGATTAAAGCCCATCCAATGGGTTTTAATTCTCGAGCTCATAATGACACTAAAAATCATGAAGTTGATGAACACCGGGGATGCTAGTGATCCGATTCTTTGTAAACTGATAGAGAAAGGGTATCGTG